GGCAGCACCGATAGTGCGGTTTATTCGTGTTCAACCGAAGCAACTAATAGCCGTTCACACACGTAACTTACAAACTTCGTTTATACGCATGCACAGTCGTAATTAAAAACTCAGCCGGTAAAACCAAATTAGCTTGTGATTAAAAATGTCAGTCAAGAATCACAGAAGTAAAATGAGAAAAAATTATCATTTAATCACTCTTCCTTCCGGCCGCTAAGTCATTTCCCTTCCGTTGATTACGTCTCTTTGATTAACAAGGAGAAAAACTACTGAAAACACAGCCTTTTAATTTAAATTTTAAAAAAAAATTTTCTGTCGAATACTGAGAAAAAGTCAGGCGAATGGAAACGCTTCGTTTTAAGGAAACTTGCCATCGATAGAAGTGTGTAGAAAACGTTCCAGGATTGAAAATTAAACTCGCTTTCAATTGCTCTTGTAACGGAGGACAATCATTAAGGCTCACATTTTGAGAAGTTTTATTGCAGCCTAGGGAGAAGCGAAGGAAAAACGACATTGTAAGCAAAACTTTCTGAAAAGTTACAAAACTTAATAAAAAATCAAGACTAACCGTGGTTGGCCTATTGAGTTTTAGTCAACTTGGCCCGGTTGTCTTTCGTATTCTTCTAAATTATTTTAAAATTGTTGCAGAGCTACCACGTCCATTGTGTTCGTGGTCGCTTACAGTTCACCTCATTTGACCTTCGAGACGAACCTGGAAGACACGATTGTCAAACCCAATAAGTGCTTCGATAGAAGTTCATAATGAGAAAAAACTTTGGGAGGGAAAGATAAGAAGTACCTTTTGCGAGGCCAAGCTCTAAGCACATTATGGAAAAGGTCATGCTTCAATTAATTTCAAATTCGCTTTCGAGACATATTTTTTGCATTGCTATCAGTGAAAGTTGCTATTACGTAGGAATCAAACAATTTTATTCACATTAAAATCGTTCCAGGATTGAAAATTAAACTAGGTTTTGATTGTTCTTGCAAGAAGGCAATGACTAGGGCTCACATTTTTAAAGAGTCAGTTGTTTAGCTCAAGGACGGAGGGGAAGGAAAAACAACATTGTAAGCAGAGCTTTCTTCGCGCTGGGATCTTTTTAACTCTCCTTAGGTACGCTGGGAAGATAATCTGTGGATCTGGTCTACGTTTGGCAAAAATCCACAATCTAACGGGTTGTTTTGTTTCTTCTTATTATTTTTTTGGGCCAATTCCGCCGATTGGCAAACCTATTCCCTCCGCTTTTATTAACAATAAATATCTACTATGTCTTTCCGCATCCGTTTACTTTTTAGTCCTGAGCCGATCTTAAAGCTGATGAGCACTCTGAAGGGAAATTTGGTGTGGAAGTCGAAGAAAGATAGAGATAAATCTTTGTAACCTTACCTTCAAAGGTTTACTCTCTAACGGTCTGTCTCTTTATTATGTAATCACATTATCAAAGAAGGAGAAACTCAAAATTGTACTATCGGGGTGAAGCTTATACAATTCTTTTCCTATCTACTCTTGATATATACTCTTGATATATTTTCTATATAAGTATAGTTTACCTTAGAAGAGGGTAAATACAATAAGCTTGTTTTAGAATTAAAATGTGCTTTATCCTCTGAGGTTCAAATGATTGTTTTGGTTCGCTGTAATTGTACATTTTATTTCTGATGTTCATCACTCCTTTTTGAGTCATGAATATTCTTAAAGACACAAACCGTTGTCTACAGCGGTGTGTTCTTTAAATTAACAGAAGAACCATACAAACTGATATGGCGATGCGGGAAAAGAGTAAACAATGGCCATTGTCTTGTTTCACTTACACAAAGGAAGAACCACGCTTACCAGGTAAGTTGATATGAAGTTTTACATAATCCACTCTTAGGGCTGTTTAATTGGCCTTTTATTTGAACTTATTATAGGTGGATTGCTATAGCTTCTGTCACAGCCCCTCCCCCCCCCCACCCCCCATCTCCAATTGTATTATGTTTTCCAATCTACTTTAGGAGTACCACCCAAGTTAACTCCCAGGAGTGATTAACAGGTAATTCTCCTTACAACATACATATATTATCAAACAAACAGGTAATAATAATACTTAAACTTATCAGGTAGAAGTTGTTATTTTGAATTGATACCAAGTTCTCCAAACTAATTTACAAGCAAATGTGTAGCCACCAGAGGGGAGAATTATCAATCAGATCTTGTTAGTTAAAGGGCTAAAAAAAAAACTATGAACACCTGAAAAATGCTTGAAATGTTTATTGAATTCTGACCAATCACATAGGAGATCAGGACATGTAAGCAAACCATAAAACGGCAAATCAATAAATGTGACTGCATACCGTGAAGATTTCTCACACCTGGTTGACTCGTCTCCCCATCCAGAAATATTTTCAGAAGTTACGGTTTTCTTACTCTTACTGTAAATATATTCTCTGTAGAGAGGTGTGGGGTTGAAATTTTAAAGTTAACAGAAGGTGACCTTATCAAGCATGCTGTAGTGTTACACACTCAAATCACCAGATTAAATAAACACAAGGTTGTATTTATTCGAA